CGAGAACTGACAAGAGTCTGAGAGGAGCGCCAGAAGACCCCCAGAGGTCGGCGGTGCGGCGTAAGCCAATGAGTAGCAGTACGAGGGTGCCGTTGCCTGCGCGTTAGCTCTGCAATGTAATACGTTCCACGTCTTGTATGTGTGATTCCTGTCATGGCGCGTGCCGACGCCATGTTGCATACTGGTGATGCCCCCACTAGCGACCTGGCGTCGACCGCAAAGAGAGATGGCTAGACAGGGAGACCAAATGAGAGAAACAATGTGAGAGTGAGGGGCATCAATAGGGGGGCTGGCTCAGGGGGGGGAACATCGACTTGGAATCGGCGACACATCGCCGAAAGATCGGTGATAGGCCCCCGATGGCAAATCAGCACGTTGCTGGGCGGGGTGGGGCTATCAAAAACCCGTCGGCGATCCGTGGACGAGGGTCGATGCCTTCCCCCCTGAGCCTATCGCCCCCAAACGCTGCCCCTGAGAGGGGCTCGGACACCTCGGGGATGTGTGCGAGGCAGGGGGCGTGGCAAGAGGAAGCGAGGGCCAGCAAGGGAGCCAGGGGGCCCCGGCGGCCGCGCTGGCGAGGCCACGGCGCGGGCGCGGCTGCCGCTGTCTGCGGGGCTCTCCGCGGCGTGCGCGGGATCCCTGCAGACAGGGGATGCAGGAGGAGGAGCCATGCGTGGCCCCAAGGAGCCCTGATACCTCCTGCATCCACACCTCCTCCTCCTCCTCCTCCTCCTCCTCCTCCTCCTCCTCCTCCTCCTCCTCCTCCTCCTCCTCCTCCTCCTCCTCCTCCTCCTCCCCCTCCTCCTCCTCCTGCATCCTGATACCTCCTGCAACGGCAGGGGAGGGGGCGTGTCGGGGCGCCGAGAGCTCGGCGAGGGGCCCCCGATGGCAAAAATCCCCTCGGCTCGGGGCGGGGCGGGGCTGCCGGGCCCCCAAGCGGCGAGCAGTGGGCGGTGCGGGGTCGACGCGTCCCCCCTCGAGGCGGCCCACCCCCGACGTGGCCCCTCCTCCTCCTCCTCCTCCTCCTCCTCCTCCTCCTCCTCCTCCTCCTCCGACGTGGCCCCGGACCTCTGCGCCTCCGTCGGCCGTGCGCGCGGCCAGCGCGCTCAGAGGTCGCCGCCCGCGGTCCCTCGGGGAAGGCAGGGCCAGGCACTGGCTGCGGGAGGATGGGCGCCGGGCCGGAGGCCGGCGCGCAGCCGCCGGGGGCTTCGGTCACTCGCGCGCCGCCGCCTGGACCTGGCCCTTGTGGAACGCCTGGCGCGAGGGGGCGGGCGAAGCACGGGCGGAGAGACGGGGTCGAGATCGCGCCCACCGCAGGAGTGGAAGGCATCCCCGACACACCTCCCTGCACATCTGCGGTGCGCACACGTCCGCCTCGGTGGGCCTCTGAGGCTCGCCCACCATCGGCTCAGGCCGAGGGGGCAGGATATTTTGTCTTGCGTGCTGGGAGTCGACGAAAACAACCACAGCGGACCTGTGCGCATTGCTCGCACGATGCTTCTATGAGAACCTGTGAGATGCTCTATCCTGCCATGGAGGAGGGGGAGGCCGAGGGGGAGGAGCCGTAGCGTGGGCATCCGAAATCTGCGCTCGGTGCGGCAAGCGGACCCCGGCACCTGCTGCAGCTTCGGCCGCGCGCCGCAGACAAAAATCCGTCATGGAACTCTTCAAGTCCTTCGCCCAATTCCGCAGATTCGCGAGGGACGCGTAGCACCACAACGTGCCCAGGCCGCCCCCGGTGCCCGCGGCCACACGCCTCTGCGAGGGCCGCTGCACCCGGGGTCGGCGCCAGCCGGAGTCTGCGCTTGCTAGGGCCGGTGGCGAGCCGCACGCCGCGGTCTGAGCCCCTCGCGGACCTGCAACACGTCGGGCCTCCCGGCCCTCCTGGCTGGCCCTCAGGGCCACGGGCAGCGCGGGAACATGCCTCGGCCGCAGCCCAGGTCTTTGCGAGGGCTCGCTGCCGCTGCACCACGGCAGGAGTGGTCGGAACGGAAGTCGTGCAGAGGAAAGGCTTGGAAGCGAGGAACACATTCTGGTGCAAGCACGCCGCTTTCAGAGCTTACCGCGAGGCTGCAAGACCGAGCGCCGCGGCAAGAGCGCACAGCGGTCGGGCCCGGAACGCCACGCGCGGGGCCGCGGGCCTCGTCATGCCGTCCGCCATGGTCGTGGCCGTCAGGCTCCGCTCGTCAACTGCGCTGGTGGGCGCGTCCACTGTCGCCCCAGCCGCGTTGCCCACGAACAGGGAATAAAGGGGCCCTGGGACACACAAATGAATACACACAAGTAAAAATATTCCCCATATTTCCCCATATTTTCTGGGTTTTTGTCCTCCCCACCACTTCCCATATTTTCGCATATTTTCCTGGGAATCGACGATTGATTGTGTCTGTGTGTTTCTTCCCCTCCTGAAGAAACGCGAGGAGCGCCAGGAGCATGGTGTCAAGGGTGCCCGCCACGAGCTGCGGCGCTCGTCGTGTCGTCGGCCATGGTGGTGTCCGTCAGGCGGCGCTCGTCGGCCATCGTGGTGGGCTCGTCCAACGCCGCCCCCCCGCCGCGCTGCCCACGTAGAGAAAGGCGAGAAGCGCCAGGATCATGGTGCCAGGGCTTCTGGTGCGAGATGCGGCGCTCGTCGTGTCGTCGGCCATGGTGGTGTCCGTGAGGCGGCGCTCCTCCATGGTCGTTGTCTGCTCATCGGCGACGCAGCCACGGCTGGCGAGCAGCAGGGCGAACACGGCAAGCACCGCGCGGTACATCGCGGCAGTGTGCGGAGTTGCAGAAGCCGAGGGCGCGCAGACAAAAACCTGATGCGCCAGGTGCCCCGAGCCAACACGGCTACGGAGGATGAGGGGGAGGAGTGCGGGTACCCTGGGGGCCGCGCGACTCCGAAGAAGCACGAGGGCCAGACTACAGGATGTGAGGCAGGCGCGCTGCAGTGAGCATGGCGCGAACTAGGTTGTAAAAATCGTGCCCGTTAGGGAAACCAGGAAACGAGGGGATAGGTGGCAACGAGCGAAGTGAAGGACACCAAGTCCGAGACGAGCGGGGTGGGGTGCGCAGATCAGGAGGAGGACGCGGGAGAGGAGGCGCAGGAGGAGGAGAAGGAGGAGGAGGAGGAGGAGGAGGAGAAGCAGGAGAAGAAGGAGGAGGAGGAAGAGGAGGAGAAGAACGACGAGGAGGAGGAGGAGGAGGAGGAAAACGACGAGAACGACGAGGAGGAGGACGAGGAGGACGAGGAGTAGGAGGAGGAGGAGGAGGAGGAGGAGGAGAACGACGAGGAGGAGGAGGAGGAGGAGGAGGAGGAGGAGGAGGAGGTGGAGGAGGAGGAGGAGGGAACGACGAGAACGAGAGGACGAGGAGGAGGAGGAGGAGGAGGAGGAGGAGGAGGAGGGAGGAGGAGGAGGAGGAGGAGGAGGGGGAGCGCAGCGTGAGCAGGGGCAGCGCGGGGCGCAGAGCCTGGCGGGGGGGGAGAAGCCCAGGAGCTGCCCCCTCCCCACGGCCCCGCGACGCCCCTCGCGGCCCGGCCGCTCCCGGGGCAGGGGCCGCCGAGCACGGCGCGCGGTGGGGCCTTGCGCCCGTGGCTCCGCGTCCCCCCCGGTGGGCACACACGCAGACCGCCTGGTGGGCACGCGGAGAGCAGACCGAGCGCGTTCCACTGCTCGCAAAGTGACTGCTCGCAAGTGGCCTGGATCCCCCGCAGGGGGGGATCCACTGCACATTACATGAAAGCAGACGAGTGTTTTTCGGACGCTCGCGAGAAGGCACTCTGCGAGCAGTGGAACGCGCTCGGTGAGCGCTCGAACGTAGCACGCACAAGCACAACGGAAGGGGCCCAGGGACGCACGAGTAGAAACACACGAGTCCCTAGGTTCCCCGTGTTCTCTCACAGTTTCTTGATCTTCGTCCTCCCCCCCATTTCCCGTATGTTCCCATATGTCCCTGGGGGTCGGCGATGAATTGTGTCTATGTGTGTGTGTGTGTTTCCCCTCCTGTGCAGCTCCAGGTGGCTCCAGGCAGTCCCAAAAAACCGACAGGGCCTTCCGCAGGCAGCTCCTCCGCTCTCCCCCGTGTTGCAACGCGGGCGATCAGCACAAACGTGGAAGCGCACGGCAAGCCAAAGAGCTCCCGCCCAGCCCCCACTGGATTTCACCAGGGGCGACGGAGCAGTCGTCAAGAAACCTTCGATCGGAACCAAGAACGCCTTCGCTCGTCACCGCGTGAACCCTGGTGCACTGGAAGTTCTCTGGGAAACTCCTTCGCTGGGCTGAGAGCGTAAGGTCCCAGGCCCAAGACAGCACTCACAAATTTCAAGGTTATGACTATGACCAGAGGACACTTTGCTCTGTAAGACCTGGAATGACGTGAGACCGCGCAGCCGCCGACAGCGCATCAGAGAGAAGAGGTCCGAGGAGGTGAGGCGAAGCAGTGTGAATATGATTCCGGCTGGCTTAGACTGCAGGGGTCTCTTGGGCCTCTTCTTGGAGTGTCTGGGGACTGTCTTGGGACTTCCTTGGGGGGGGTGCGAGGGCTCTTGGGGGCATCCTGAGGCTATTGGGGGCCTCTCAAGAGGTTCCAGGTACCGTTTAGGCCGTGCTGGCTTAGGTCGGGCATGTCCTCCAAAATCCAAAATTGATCCAAACATAATCGAAAAAAACGTCCCCCTATTCTTGAATATTCCTCCTGTAGAGGGACATGCCCGACTTATATCTTGGCGTGTCCTGGCGCACAGAGGGCAAGGTGCAAGAACAGTGGCAGAAGGGGGAGCGAGGCGGAGCGCGCACGCAGGCGGAGGAGGAGGCCGCCAGGGAGGAGGAACGAACGAACGAGCGAAACCTGTGGTGCGTGACTGAGTTTGCTGTCCAGCAGTGCACCAGGGAGGAGGAGGAAGAGGAGGAGGAGGAGGAGGAGGAGGAGACGGAGGAAGAGGAGGAGGCGGAGGAGGCGGAGGAGGCGGAGGAGACGGAGGAGGAGGAGGAGGAGGAAGAGGAGGAGGAGGAGTAGCGGAGGAGGAGGAGGAGCGGAGGAGGAGGAGTAGGAGGAGCAGGAGGCGGAGGGCGGACGACGGACGGCGGACGGCGGAGGACGCAGGCGGCGGAGGACGAGGAGGGAGAGGAGGCCCTCGCGCCCCGCCCGCGCGCAGAGGGCGGGGGGCTCAAAAACACGTCCGGCAGAGGCGGAGCGCGGCTGCCGGCGGGGAGGAGCGCACACTCGGGGGCGGAGGAGGCGGCCGCCGCGAAGAGGGGCTCAGAACCCGAACCTGTCGAGGCGCCGCACCAGCGGGGTGATGTAGCCCTTGGTCTGGCCGTCCCGGAAGCGGTCCACGCGGGGCCCCTCCCAGAGCGCCTGGGAGACCTTGATGTTGGCGAACATCAGGAGGAGCGCCACGAACAGGGAGAGAGCGACCTCGGAAGAGGAACGAGAAAGAAGCAGCACAAGCCCAGACCTACTCGGAGCTCCGCGCGAATTTCTCGGATCGGCGCTGGGACCCCCATGGCGGCGCCTCCGGCGCCGCCCCTGCCGCGCTCCGCGCGCCGAAGACGGGATCCTAGCGCCGATCCGAGAAATCCTCGCAGCCCTCCGAGAGTTTGTGTTTACAGCGTGTTATCTTCTCCGAGGCCACCGCACGGTCCGTCACCGCACGGTTTGGGGACCCTGGTATAGGTGGCGACACCGGAACCTTGCCCCACCAACCATCGGTTTTCCTGAATCGAGGGGAGGCGGGGGCAGGGCTCGGATTTCGCCACGTGCTCGACGAATTCCGCACCCCACCCCCGCCGCCCATCGATTTGCCTGAATCGTTGATCGGCGGGGGTAGGGTTCCGATGTCGCCGCCAAAAACCGCGCGGCCACCCGGGATTCGCACTGAGTCACCACACGGTGTGGTCACCGCACCGCTTGGGGGCCCCCGGCGCCTGCAGCGCCGGGTGACTTTCGGGTCATAACTTGAGCCTCTGGCGGCCCTTTGGGACGATTCGGACGGCCCCAGAACGCTCTCGGCAAGGCGCAGCTGCTGGAACGCGTACCGGGGCATGAAAACCTGCGTGAAACAACAGAAACGTCCGAAAATCCAGAACTCTGTTTGAAGGCCCCCGAGAATCTCTCCAGGGAGGCCTGAAGCCGCGCGGCCACCCCGACTCCCCGCTGACTCATCGCACGGTATTTGGCCGCCGCACCGCTTGGGGGTATCCCCGAGGCCTGGGCGTCGGTCAGCCCGTCTTCGGGGGGCGCTGGCATCGTGATGTCCTTGGCCTCGCGGAGGAGGACCACTTGACACAACGGTGGTGAGACAGCTCCAGACATGCTGGCGTCGCGAGAAGCAAAACAGCAACAACAACAACAACAACAACAACAACAACAACAACAATCATTTTGAGACTGTTCGCCCTTATCTGCTCGAGTGTCCAATAACGCGTATTTCCCAAACCCTCGATACCCGACCCGCCCTCTCCGTCTTCGATCGAACCCCTTTTGGGGGGTATACCTTTCTTCCCTGCAGGCCGGGCCCCGGCAAGCGGCGGGGCGGCCGCGGACCGTCGGCCTGGCCAGCGGCAGCGCTGATCGGCGGGGCGGCCGCGGACCGTCGACCCGACCCCCAGAGGGACGGACAGGGGACCGACCACGACGAGGACGACGACGACGACGTCGACGACGACGGCGACGACGACGACGACGACGGCGACGACGACGACGAGCGAAAGCGAGAGCGAGAGAGAACGACAGCAGGGCCACGAAGGACACGAAGTAGGCCACGAAGGGCGACAGCGGGGACACGAAGGGAATGCGTATGGGGCCACGAAGAGCGCGAACGAGCGGGGGCCACGAAAGGCAGATAATGCGGGGCCACAGAAGGCAACGATGGGGCCACTGAAGGTAGCAATTGGGCCACGTAGGACAGTGAGGGGGCCACACACGGCGACAGCGGGGCCACGAAGGGCATGCACATGGGGCCAAAACCGGCGCGAACGAGCGGGGGCCACGAAGGGCATACGTATATTGGGCCGCGGAGGGCAAGAACGGGGCCACTGAGGGCAGCAACGGGGCCACGAAGGGCAGCGAGGGGGCCACGAAGGGCGACAGCGGGGCCACGAAGGGCATGCATATGGGGCAACCACGGGCGCGAACGAGCGGGGGTCACGAAGGGCATACATATATGGGGCCACGAAAGGCAGCGAGGGGGCCACGAAGGGCCACAACGGGGCCACGAAGGGCAGCGAGGGGGCCACGAAGGGTTGCAACGGGGCCACGAAGGGCTGCGACGGGGCCACGAAGGGCAGCGAGGGGGCCACGAAGGGTTACAACGTGGCCACGAAACAAAGGGAGGGGGCCACGAAGGGCTGCAGCGGGGCCACGAAGGGCAGCGAGGAGGCCACGAGGGGCTGCAACGGGGCCACGAAGGGCAGCGAGGGGGCCACGAAGGGCTGCAGCGGGGCCACGAAGCAAAGCGAGGGGGCCACGAAGGGCTACAACGGGGCCACGAAGGGCAGCGAGATCCTAGGTAATCTGTGAGGGAATCCTAAGCGTGAGCGCGACTCCTGGGTGCCTGGGTGTCGGGAGCGCGGCGCTTGAGTAAATTACAAAATCCAACGCCAGGGCGCTATGGTAAATTGCAAGCAAGTCTCCAGCGAAAGCGCGATTCCAGATCGCCGGGAGAGCGATTCCTGAATAAATTGTAAGGAAGTCCCAAGCGAGAGCGCGATTCCTGAATAAAATGCAAGGAAGTCTCGGGGCGGGAGCGGGGGTCCTGGCTAAATTGTGAGGAAGTCTCAAGCGGGAGCCCTTGTTGTTGTAGTCCGGGGGGCAGGGGGCCAGTTTGAGCAGGAAGACTTTCTTTGACAAAAACATAGTGCGAGCCTCGGGGGGGCACTTCAATTGAAAAAATGTGCACCGGTGAGGGGGGATCAACAAATTATTATTCTTCAAGCATGATAGTTCAACAACAACAACAACAACAACAACAACAACAACAACAACAACAACAACAATTACTAGCACGTGGGGACACACCGTTCTCACCAGTGCCAGGGTTTTCATAGGAGGCGGGCAATACCCCCACTTTGTGGGGGGGCCGGTTCAAGCTCTACCAAATTTCCAAACGACTCTTCGCCACCACCCACACCCAGCTTCCCGCCCTATGACGTTCGGACACTTCACTTCGTGGCATGCGGACGACCGTGGCTACTATTCAGGGCCCCGCGGCCGACGACGACGGCGTGCGCGCGCGAAGAAAAAACGAATGTGTCCCGCATGGTATTATTTGACAGGGATGATGGCCCTGGCAGGTGCGCAACCGTTGTCGCAGAAGTTCGAAAAAGTTGCTCGCAAAAGCCCGTTTGACAGAAATGTTTAAAAAGTGTTGGGTTTCCTACGAATCCGCAAGAGCGCGCGGGATGAGATTTTGACGATTTTTTGTTGAAAAACCATTGGTTTTTTGATGTTTTTATGTTAAAATCGCTGCGAACACTAAGGTTTTGGAAGGATTTCGTCTTGCGCGCGCGAATGTCCACTTTACACAAGAAATGTAATTTTCTATTGTTTGTTGCAAGGGAAAGCGGATTACAACAAAACAACCGGATCCTGTACACACCCTCTTTTCTGAGGCTTCCTCACGAAAATGATGAAAATGTAGCTGCGGCCTAGGCGGCGCAGGGGGGGCGCGCACCAGGGGGCCCAACAATAATTATTCTTTAGAATAAATAATGTTCAACAACAACAACAAGAACAAGAATAAGAACAATAACAACAATAACAAGAACAAGAACAAGAACAAGAACCATAACAACAAGAAGAACAAGAACAAGAACAAGAACCAGAACAACAACAGCACAAACAACAGCAGCAGCAACGACAACAAACATGTTACCCTCATGCGCGATGCTTCCTCACGAAGCATGCGACCATCATGATAACCATGCCCATCATGGGGCACTCTTGTTCTATAGCGGGGTCCGTTATTCCCATTCCTAGATATCCCGCCCAATGAGGTCTTGCAAACACCTCCGAGGAATTTCAACAGATCCCGCCTCGAAAACGCATGCCCGCGCCTTGCTGCGCCGATGCGAGACCGCCAGTGGAGCCCCAGCCAAGGGTAAAGCACAAGGAAGTATCGAGCGACAGGATTGCCTTGCTAGGGATGGGAGCTGTCTGCGGCGAGGCAAGGGCCTGGCCCTGAATAGAAAGGGAGGAAGTCTCGAGCAGGGCCGCTGTTGTTGCTGTGGGCGGCGCCAATGCTAAAGAGAGTATGGCGCTGGTCCAGCGTAAAACAAAACGAAGTCTCGAGAAGGAACGCTGGTTTTGTTGGGACGGCGGTTGTTGGCGGCGAGGAGGAACACCGCCTTGAATAAGAAGGGAGGAAGTCTCGAGCGGGAGCCGTGGTTTTGTCAGGACAGGGGCTGTCGGCGGCGAGGAACAGCACCGTCCTGAGGAAAAAAGGAGGAAGAAGCCTCGAGCGGGAGCGTTGTTCTTGCTGGGAGCGGTGCCAATTCAAAAGAGAGCATCCAGCGTAAAACGGGAGGAAGTCTCGGGCGGGAGCGCTGGCTTTGTCGGGACGGCGTTTTGCGGCGGCGAGGAGAAGCACCGCCTTGAGTAAAAAAGGGAGGAAGTCTCGAGCGGGAGCGTTGTTGTTGCTGGGGGCGGCGCCGATGAGAGAAAGAGTAGCGCGCCAGTCCAAGGTAGAACGGAAGGAAGTCTCGAGGCGGTAGCGCTGGTTTTGTTATGACGGCGGCTTTCGGCGGCGGGCAAGAGCACCGGCCCTGAGTAAAAAAGGAAGAAGTCTCGAGCGGGAGCGTTGCTGTTGTTGGGGGGCCGGTTTTGACGCCCCCCAAACCGTTCGAGCGTGAGCCTCATTTTCAATGAAAATGTAGCCAGAGCCGCTGCGAGAGAGTCAAAGCGCCTGGGGATCCAACAATAATGATTATTTAGTAACTAACATTCAACATCAACAGCAACATCATCAACAACAACAACAACAACCACAACAACAACAACAACAACAACAACAACAACAACAACAACAAAAAAGACGACGACGACGACGACGACGACGACAACAACAACAACCACAACAACAGCAACAACAACCACAACAGCAACAACAACAACAACAACAGCAACACAACAACAACAACAACAACAACAACAACAACAACAACAACAACAACAACAACAACAACAACAATTACTAGCACGTGGGGACACTCCGTTCTCACCAGTGCCAGGGTTTTCATAGGAGGCGGGCAATACCCCCACTTTGTGGGGGGGCCGGTTCAAGCTCTACCAAATTTCCAAACGACTCTTCGCCACCACCCACACCCAGCTTCCCGCCCTATGACGTTCGGACACTTCACTTCGTGGCATGCGGACGACCGTGGCTACTATTCAGGGCCCCGCGGCCGACGACGACGGCGTGCGCGCGCGAAGAAAAAACGAATGTGTCCCGCATGGTATTATTTGACAGGGATGATGGCCCTGGCAGGTGCGCAACCGTTGTTGCAGAAGTTCGAAAAAGTTGCTCGCAAAAGCCCGTTTGACAGAAATGTTTAAAAAGTGTTGGGTTTCCTACGAATCCGCAAGAGCGCGCGGGATGAGATTTTGACATTTTTTTGTTGAAAAACCATTGGTTTTTTGATGTTTTTATGTTAAAATCGCTGCGAACACTAAGGTTTTGGAAGGATTTCGTCTTGCGCGCGCGAATGTCCACTTTACCTTATTTTTTGCAAGGGATTCTTGAAATTTGATTATATTAGAACAAGAAATGTCATTTTCTATTGTTTTTTGCAAGGGAAAGCGGATTACAACAAAACAACCGGATCCTGTACACACCCTCTTTTCTGAGGCTTCCTCACGAAAATGATGAAAATGTAGCTGCGGCCTAGGCGGCGCAGGGGGGGCGCGCACCAGGGGGCCCAACAATAATTATTCTTTAGAATAAATAATGTTCAACAACAACAACAACAACAACCTCAACAACAACAACCACGACGATGACGACGACGACGACGACGACAACGACAACAACGACGACGACGTAAGGTTTCTGGCCGCATTCGGCCTCTGGGGAATCTCGCCAAGCCGTGGGACAGTCACACAACGACCCTGGGTGAAAAGCTGGCCCCTGGGGAAAGGGGTCGCGGCTTTGGGGGCCCCGCACACTGCAAAAAACAACAACAACAACAACAACAACAATTACTAGCACGTGGGGACACTCCGTTCTCACCAGTGCCAGGGTTTTCATAGGAGGCGGGCAATACCCCCACTTTGTGGGGGGGCCGGTTCAAGCTCTACCAAATTTCCAAACGACTCTTCGCCACCACCCACACCCAGCTTCCCGCCCTATGACGTTCGGACACTTCACTTCGTGGCATGCGGACGACCGTGGCTACTATTCAGGGCCCCGCGGCCGACGACGACGGCGTGCGCGCGCGAAGAAAAAACGAATGTGTCCCGCATGGTATTATTTGACAGGGATGATGGCCCTGGCAGGTGCGCAACCGTTGTCGCAGAAGTTCGAAAAAGTTGCTCGCAAAAGCCCGTTTGACAGAAATGTTTAAAAAGTGTTGGGTTTCCTACGAATCCGCAAGAGCGCGCGGGATGAGATTTTGACAATTTTTTGTTGAAAAACCATTGGTTTTTTGATGTTTTTATGTTAAAATCGCTGCGAACACTAAGGTTTTGGAAGGATTTCGTCTTGCGCGCGCGAATGTCCACTTTACCTTATTTTTTGCAAGGGATTCTTGAAATTTGATTATATTAGAACAAGAAATGTCATTTTCTATTGTTTTTTGCAAGGGAAAGCGGATTACAACAAAACAACCGGATCCTGTACACACCCTCTTTTCTGAGGCTTCCTCACGAAAATGATGAAAATGTAGCTGCGGCCTAGGCGGCGCAGGGGGGGCGCGCACCAGGGGGCCCAACAATAATTATTCTTTAGAATAAATAATGTTCAAAAACAAAGAAACAAAAAAGCCGGGGCGGCGGCCCAAAGCCGCTCAGAGTCGGTCCCTGGACCCCCTCCAGGGGCCCAAGCGCAGCAGCGTCCCGAGGCCGCGGCCGGCCGCGGCGGCGAAGGGGCCGGCCCGAGGGCCAAAGATGGACAAGCGCGTTCCACCACTCGCAGAGCAACTGCTCGCAAACGGCCCAGATCCGCCATGGGAGATTCACGATGCGTTCCATCGATGCAGACAGGTGCTTTTCGGACGGTTGCGAGGAGGCACTTTGCGAGCAGTGGAACGCGCTTGGTGAGCTAGGGGGGGGAACCAGGCGCCGATGCAAAAACTCCGCGCGGACCGTCGAAAGTTTGGATGTTTGTGTACAGTGGAGGCCCGTCCACAAGAAGCCTTCCACTAGAAACCCAACCCTGAGACCCCAGGACGTGCATTGACTTCTGGCGTGGGGACGCCACGCCTTCCATCGCAAAAGAACCATGGAAACCCGGAACGCGCTCCGTGAGAAGAGGGGGCCCATGTCTCGGCTGGCCCTCCTCCGAGCCTTCTCGAACTTGCCGCCGGGGATGCGAGCCCAGGCTGGCACCGCGCTCAGGTAGCCTCGAGAAGCAGAAAACGGCACCAGCACCATGCAAACACGCATACAAACGTACATACATACATACGTACATACATACACACACACACATACATACATACATACATACATACATACATACATACATACATACATACATACATACATACATACATACATACATACATACACACACACATACATACATACATACATACATACATACATACATACATACATATATATACATACATACATACATACATGCATGCATGCATGCATGCATACATACATACATACATGCATACATACATACATACACACATACATACCTACATACCCACCTACCTACCTACATACATACCTACGTACATCTCTACCGACCTACCAATGTACATGTATACATATATACAGACATACAGACATACAGACAGAATTGCATACATGCATGTATACATATGTATATATGCATGTATGAACATATATATATATATATATACATACATACACATATACTCATATACATACACACATACATGTACTAAACATCTACATCTACATGTAAATATATGAATATATGCATACATGTATATATACATGTACATATACATGTGCATACGCATACGTATGTACATATGCATACAAATATATAGACATATGAACATGCGTATACAACTATATATATATATATATACATACATATGTATATACAAATACATGG